GATGTCGGTTTTCATTGAGATGGCGGGTCGCGCAACGCGCGACCCCGAATACTAAGGCTTAGTCTTACTAAGCCGCAACGTAGCAGGGGTCAGTTAGCTAATATACCTTAGAGAAAGCCTATCTTAATGTCCTAGAAGGCTGCTTTACAAGCCTAAAAACACCTCTATCCAAATGCAACACAGAAAGAGCTTCGCAAATGGTTTCAGGACACCTATAATCATACTCTTTCATCTGGTCTTATCTCTGATATCTTATCCTATAAATATGAATATCTTAATGCTGATTCCCTCCCTTCCTGCAATGCAAAGCGCCAATGCCGTGAGAACTAGCCAGAGCTAGAGAATGCCTTATTTGAGTGGATGATATATGTGGAGGAATAAATACCTATCTCTACAGAGATTATTTAATAAAAGGCTCAGTCTTTTGGGAGAAGATCTATCCAGGGAAAGAGATGCCAGTATTCAGTAATAGATAGCTTTATAACTTCTAGATAAGGAGGTTAGTAAGATGGTATTAACAACATAGAGAGGAGGGAAGTATTCTAGCTTAGGCAGACTAAGAGATGCTTAAGATTAAATAAGTCTTAAGTGCGTATAGCCTTAAGGACTAGTTTAATTATAATAAGACTGGCCTCTTCTGGAAGCACTCTCCTGCACAGAGTCTTTCAACATGTTAACTTCCAGGTTAAAAGAAAGATAAAGCACGCATAATAGCCCTTTTTTATTACAATATGGATGGCTCTAAGAAGCTATTACCATAGTTTATTAGTATAGCAAAGAATCTATAAGCTTTCCAAGCCACTGGTGTTAATATACAGAATCTGAATCTTATCTAGTGGAGTAACTAGAAAGCCTAGATTATAATATTAATATTTATAGAGTTTCTTTATTAGTTTGATAAGTAGATAAGTGGATGGAATATTATCCTTCTTATAGATAACTTCTCTGCTCATCAAGCTGCTGTGACAGAGATTCAATCTAGTAGCTATCCACTACAGAATACTCTATTATATGGCTTCCTGTAAACTCTACAGGTGATATTCAGCCTCTTAATTAAGGGATTATCCACTGTTGGAAGTCATACTGGAAAAAGATACTAGATTTGCTTTATCCTTTAAGAGTTTGAGCTTAATTATAATTAATCATGTTAATGACATTCTAAGAGCAGTTTAATAGGGAATCCAGAGCTGGGAATTTAATCTTTCTAGATAGGTAATCCAGAATTGCTTTTAAAAGGCTTCTAGATTTCTTAACCATTATATTGAGAGCCTGTTGATTCCAGCAGTTCTAGATGATATATAGAATTGCATTCTCTCTCTTAAAGCTCTCTACGCCTATCCAGGATTCTCATGGATATTGATACCTTTCTAAACCCTATAGAGGAAGCTATCTAAGATACTCCTGAAGATATTAAGAGCCAGATTCTAGCTCAGTATGGGCTGGAGCTTGATGATGATTCTAAAGAGGAGCTTGAAGTTCTACTGTTAGAATACCACTGGATGAGGCTTTAGAAGCACTAAGAACACTTGTTTATATGAAGAGCAGCAGGCAGAGGTATCCCTAGCCTTATATATGAGCTAGTATAAGCATGAGCATTATCCTTTGGGTTCGAAAGCTAAGCCTACAGACGCAGCGGGACATTCGAAGCTATTTTACAGGCTAAATATATACTAATATATACTATCCTTGATATAACGAGAACCTCGATATAACGAGAAATATGGTCTGTCTGGAATATCTTGTATAACGAGGTTTTGACTGTAGTAACTACTATCCACTTATAGGGTGCAGAATTGAAAGAGTCAAAATCATTTGTAAGGCGCTAACAGAACCACCAGGGTCCACCGGAGTAGATTGCGGCCTGAAATAGACCAATTGTTAAGTGCAGAGGAAACCAGGCTAAAGAAATAGGTGCTTGGCACCTTGGAGTAAGAGTACCCTAGATATTCCGTAGGAGTACGAAGATGGGTGTTTAGCAGCTACTATCTACTCCAACACAAACCAAAAAGGTTCCAATGATCACTGCCCATGGAATCGCCAGCTCGATGATCAGCCTTCACTACGAGATGGAAGCTCCTTCAGATCATCCTTATCATCCTTGCCAGCTCGCTTTGCCGCGCTAATATGGGAGGATGAGGCAAGCATATACAACAAATCTGCTGTGATGTACTTCCGGCGCTGTCGTGCCGCAACCTTAGGCCTGACAAAGAATCATCCTTGACACTGCCTGCAAACACCGAGGGTTGATGTATTTTATGGTTATCAGCCGGCTATCACTCGTCCCATGCTTCTCTGACGGATGTAGTTGTATGTGTTCTGCGTGGATTAGGGTTAGGTAGCATCAACATTCTTAGTGAAGAAAACCCCAGACAGAGTGAGTATTCAACCTAACAATTTTTATATTTCAATCTCTCTTCCCTTAGGCATATGCGTATTGCTCATGGTCCAAGATGTTTATAGACGATTAAAACTTTTATATATATGTTTAGTAATTCGCATCAAATCAACCTATACTGAAGTATTAATTCAATATCCAATACCCATAGTACGATAGCAAAGAGTCCTATGTGGGATACTACATTAATTCGCAGTTTACTCGATTACAAGAACTACCTACTCCTGCCCGCCAATTACGATATATCCGTTGTGACTTCTATCATACGCTTGGATGTCCTCTCCCTACCTAATTCGTTGGTCGCCATGCCTACAGCAACTTATGCAAAGATGGCGTGATGGGCGTGATGGGCGCTAGTTATCTCTTGGTTGGGTACATCGAGGAAGAGTAACGAGACATGCTTTCAAACCTGGCCTGTTAAGCAGTTCGATGCTAGGGCTAAGAACCGACTTGTTCCGTGATTCCTCGCGGATATTATTACTGACCGTCACCCGGAACCGCCGTACCAAAAATAGGCTCTTGTCATAAACATCAGAATGGGCTCTTGTGGCTGACAGTCGCCCAACCTTTACTCGAAATTCAGGACCTGAAAACCGAAGAGGTTCGCACAGAGATACCGGGCACTACATTTATTCCACGGTTGACTCGTATATGTCGGATATCTTTCGCATATCAACCAAATGCGATCAATGGGTACAGAGGACGATATCTACCAGACCTCTGCCTTGAGCGCAATGCGGAGAGAATGCCACTACTAGATTATCAGCTGACTGAAGTTCCATTCCTGTTTAAAGACGGTGAGTATCGTAAACAATAGGAGGAAGTCCAGACAGGTTCCCCAGAGAGACAGAGAAAGGAATGACAAAATTGAAGCTGAAAAGGGTTACTGTCGATCTTGCACGAGATGATGAAATTCAAGAGGGTTTATTCCTCGGCCTCATATGCCTCCTCCTCCTCGGCATACTGTTGCTCCTCTCCATCGGAGATACTGGCGTCCTGGTATTGTTGATATTCGGACATCAAGTCATTCATGTTACTTTCCGCCTCGGTGAATTCCATCTCATCCATTCCCTCGCCGGTATACCAGTGCAAGAAGGCTTTGCGGCGGAACATGGCCGTGAACTGGGTCGCCACGCGCTGGAAGAGCTCCTGGACGGACGTGGAATTGCCCACAAAAGTGGCCGACATTTTCAGGCCCTTTGGAGGCACGGAGCAGAGGGCTGTTTGAACATTATTCGGGATCCATTCCACAAAGTAACCGGAATTCTTGGTATGGATATTGAGCATTTGATCATCGACTTCTTTCATGGAGACCTTGCCGCGGCTGAGATTTGATTAGCTTTTTCTGGGGTGTCGAGTAGAAGGAAAAGCTTACAAAAGGGCAGAGCAGGTCAGAAAGCGGCCATTTTGAAAGTTGCAAGCGGTCATCATATTCTTGGAATCAAACATCTGCTGCGTGAGTTCTGGAACACTCATTGCGCGGAAGGACTGGGCTCCTCGACTGGTCAATGGAGCAAAGCCCACCATGAAGAAATGCAGCCTGGGAAAGGGAACCATATTAACCGCCAGCTTCCGAAGGTCGGAATTCAGCTGTCCCGGGAACCGAAAACTGGCAGTGATGCCGGACATGACCGTCGAAACGAGATGGTTGAGATCGCCGTACGAAGGGGAAGACAGCTTCAGCGTCCGTGTACAGATATCATAGAGCGCCTGTGCCTGTTAGCTCGCATCGACGTGGCGTGGAATAATCAGGACTGATATACCTCATTGTCGATGCAAAACGTCTCATCTGCGTGCTCGACCAGCTGGTGGATTGAAAGAGTCGCATTGTACGGCTCCACCACGGTATCAGAGACCTTTGGGGATGGCAGGACCGAGAATGTTGCCATCATCCGATCAGGGAATTCCTCCCGTATCTTGGAGATGAGAAGCGTGCCATGCCAGCTCCCGTTCCGCCGCCCAGAGAATGGGTGATCTGGAATCCTTGCAGATAGTCACAGCTCTCCGCCTCACGGCGAACAACATCAATGACTTGATCCACCAGCTCTGCGCCTTCCGTGTAATGACCCTTTGCCCAGTTGTTGCCCGCGCTGGACTGCCCAAACACAAAATTATCAGGTCGGAAAAGGGCACCGTGGGGCCGGAGCGAATGGCGTCCATTGTTCCCGGTTCCAAGTCGACGAGGACCGCTCGAGGGACATATTTCGAGTTGCCGACCTCGTTGAAATAGACATTCATCCGCTCCAGCTGCTGATCGGACGTGCCATTGTACCTGTGGCAGTGTCAGATATATCGTAAGCGACAGTGACCGGATCACTGACATGCCGGACTCATCGAGACCGTGTTCGCCGGAGATGGTTTGCCTGGGCCGTGTCAGAGGTAGGAACGGTAGAATTTGGGAGTAATAGACAGTTAAGCTGGAATTACCAAAAGGCAGCACCAACTTGGTTACCCTGGAAGGAGTATCAGAGCTTAGCATTACTTCAATTTCTCATGAGAACGGGGATTGACTCACGCATTGGCCGGTTTGAAGATGAACCTTTATTCAAGCATAACCGAGATCAGAGGTCAGCGATCTCGACGACAGGATATTCCGAAGTCAGTGAGCGGACTCACAATTTCACGCATGTTGGTGGGCAGATACGAGTATTTAGATTCAAAAATGAAGGCGAGTTGGGGGATAGGAGACGATCGTAAGATAGGAGAACAAGAGCTGTTGGGAGTCGGGAGGTTAGGCGCCTAATTCATAAAAGACCGACTAGTGATTTATTTCAACGCCGCTAGTAAGATACAGATTACAGACAGAGCTGGGGTTATGGATAGGTAGGAATGGGATATCTGATATCATGTCACGCCTGCATTATGGCATCTCTTGACACGGCCTGCCATTCGTGGAAATTCATACATTTGCAGACTAGCCAGGATTATCAACTAGAGATTGGTCAAGGACCTCATGACAACGCACAGTTAGGTACCTAACATAACTCAGGCATGTGTGTATGTATGCAAGGGAGCAAGGGAATGCCAACAGTGTAAAGTCTGACTTGGTGAGGTGTTAAAAAAAACATACATCATATGTTCGTCCACAATCTACATGATTATAATTCTGTATAGATACAAGCCCACTCCGCTGGGTAGTGATAGGTTTATAAGTCGTTTGCTCAGCTATCTTGCCGTAGTATTTTTGATTGCGTATTATAGAATTAAAATACAGCTAGGCTAAAAGGGTGTCCGGACGATGTCCTCCGTGGATAGTGAAGGATTACATATCAGATAACAAACCCTGACGTCTCCGAACCACGCAACCTGATACTTAGGATAGCCTGTCTAAATAAAAGATCTGTCACCGTAAGAACTGTGCTACGCACCAGCAATCATGGTTCATGACCGGGCTTCGGCGATTTCGGCGATTCACTGATTTAGCAGGGCTGGTCCTCTGACACAGCCCGAAATAGCAGCCACAGTACAGTTGCATCTTGCGACACTAGAAGACCTTCATCGCGCATTTCTGCTGCTGCCTAAAGATAATTGGCCTCTTGCTTGTGTTCTTCGCCATGGCTGGCCTTGTCTGGTTTCGTGCAACGCCCCTTCGAACAGGACTATGGCACATTACGGGGCCTTGGTGGCGCCGCTATACAGGTGAAATGGAAGTCTTCATCTCTTTTTCTCACCTGTCTAATGTTTCCCTAGACATTTTATAGGCGATTGATGCTTACAATGGATGAACCTGCGAAGTCATTCATCGCTTGCGCAAGGAATATGGTCCCGTGCTGCAAGTTGGTCCACAATCTCTGTTGATTATCATCGGGTTCCAACGCCACCATCTCCGCATTCCCGCGATGAGGATGGTTTTGAACGACAAGTGCCGCTTTCCATCACACGAGAGTACGCTTGGGAACAACAACAACTTCCCCTGGATTTGAAGACATTCAGTAGCACTATTGGCATATACATGCATGGTTCCCTCAATCTCAATCGGCCTCGGCTGGGCATTCAATCAGGCACTAGCGCCACGACGCGTTTCGCACATGTTTTATCGCAGATCCGGACGGCTCAGCGCAACCCATGCAAGCCATTATGCGGTGGCCGCAAGCCTACTTTGAAGCCGTCAAGGTTGCAGACAAAGTCGCCGCTAAGGAAGGCTTCAAGGATCTCGAAGATTACAAGTACGATTTGGCAAAGGGTGACACTCTAAAGGTCGTCGACTTCCATTGGCGGCCCACTGATCACCTTCCTATCATTGCTTACCATCGCCTTGTCGGCGATGGCTGGACAACTGAACATCTCTTCGTCGAGGCCGGTCTAGGACCTCTTGAGACCCTGTTGAGGGCTTAACCTACTACCTAAATCTAGTAAGGTGGAAAACCTCGGCAAGGTCTTGACTATGCTTTTCATCACTTCTCATCGACCATCAAATTTACTACCCCAAGGCTATCGTCGTTAGGTGAGTTAGGACGATTAAATTGGTCAGGAAGTATATGGGCTAGAAATAGAGGAATCTCTTCTTAAGTGTGGTTAGCGGCGCGTTTGATATTATTATATAGATAGTGGTTGAGGAGCTCATCAAGGTCTTGATTTATATGTGATCTACATAGAATCCAAAACCTTTGCCCTTGCCTTAACTTACCCGAGGCCTTGCTGAACTGGCTGCCAGTCGCAGGTCAGAGCTTTCTAGATCTGGCCGGTTGATACGGGAAGAGGGGCCACCCGTCTTGTAAGATCTCTAGTCTCTACAGTCCCTAGCGCGTCCGTGAGGCGTCACCTCTTAAATACAATCGGAAACCACCGAAAAGAGCCTAAAAGCGCCGAAAAACGCCGGTCACCTCAAAACGCCGTGGGTCGCTCTTCCCCCTAGTCTGACTCTGACCGCAGTCGCAAGCTGTCAACAAGTTGCTCCTCAAATTTTTACTCCCGCATTTTTCCAGATCAGAAACACACCTGTTCCTCTTCCATCCCCAGTCCTTCGTGTCGCGCGCATCCACCACCGCCGCAATGGCTGCGTCTCACACTGTTGTGGCCCCGGCCGCCCCGAGAAGAAGCTTGAGGGCCTCAGCCTGTACTCTCGGTTCGCTTTTGCCGGTGCCGTCTGCTGTTCTGTCACCCATGGTGCCTTCACTCCAGTTGATGTGTATGCTTATCCATCGGCTTCGGCTCTAGTGCCCAATGTTCGCGACTTACTGACACTCCCACAGTGTCAAGACTAGGATCCAGCTCGATCCTGCCACCTACAACCGTGGTATGATTGGCGGTTTCCGTCAAGTCATTCAAAACGAGGGCGCTGGCGCTCTCTTGACCGGCATCGGGCCAACCTTCGCCGGTTACTTCATGCAGGGAGCTTTTAAATTCGGTGGTTATGAGTTTTTTAAGCAGCGATCTATCAACGTTCTTGGTCTCGAAACGGCCCGTCAGAACCGTACTGCCGTTTACTCTGTCTCGGCCGCCTCCGCCGAGTTCTTCGCCTCTATCGCTCTCTGTCCTCTCGAGGCTACACGTATCCGTCTTGTCTCTCAACCTGGCTTCGCAAATGGTCTGATCGGTGGTTTCGGCAAGATTTTCAAGAACGAGGGCATTGGTGCTTTCTACCGTGGTTTCGGTCCTATCCTCTTGAAGCAGTACGTTTCATGGTCTTGACGTACGATTAGAAACTCAACAATAAGCTGATATGATACAGGGTGCCCTACACAGTGACCAAGTTTGTGGTTTATGAAAAGGTCGCCGAGGCTGTTTTTGCTCGTCTTGACAAGTCCAAGCTGTCCAACAGCGCCCAGACTGGTGTTAACTTGGGATCCGGTCTCATTGCCGGTTTCGCTGCTGCCATTGTCTCTCAGCCCGCTGATACCATGTTGTCCAAGATCAACAAGACCAAGGGTCTCCCCGGTGAGAGCACCGTTTCCCGTCTCATCAAGATTGCTGGCGAGCTGGGTCTTCGTGGATCCTTCGCTGGCCTTCCTACTCGTCTGTTCATGATCGGTGGTCTCACTGCTGGGCAATTCGCCATCTACGGTGACATCAAGAAGGCTCTGGGTCAGTCCGCTTACTTTCTTAATTCCCCGATCAAGGCTGACTTTGTTCCTTAGGTGCCACCAATGGTGTTGAGATCGCCAAGTAACGACCCATTGAATTTCAACATTCACATGGCTTAGAGAGAGATAGACGTGACTACAATAGACTGTATATATTTGTCCTTTACATTAATGCGCTCCTCATAAGGCTGTTCTCATTGTGCTACTATTTCTACAGTTTCTTATGCTCTAGAAATCCGTGTAGATGATTACTGATCACTCTGTCGCAGCGCAGAGACAATAGTGTCGTATGTTGATTATGGGCAACAATAGGTCCATATGCAGTAAAAAAGGCCGACCTTAAGCGACAAAAGCAAATATATAGGAGGGATTTAACATAGTCATGCAGAATGAACTCATCCTGCGTTTACATAAGATGGCCAGAAATCTTGCTTATCAGGTCCAGTCATCCATGGCCAATCATTCCACCAGGATTCAATGAGGACATTACAGCCTTATTATCACCTCTATAATGTGGCCTCTCCCTAGGATCACCAACTCAGATCTACTGCTCGGCCAACCCCACCGGATGTGTGGAGACCTGGTTTGACATACATCAGAGAGCTCGTCATCTAGGCCACAGAAAATGGCGTGTTTCTATAGGGAAAGGCGGCATCTTTACCGGTCACTAAAGCATAACTTTAGATATCATGCTTACAACTATTCCAGATATAGTTTCAAGCTTATAGGGATCTTCTCTCGAAATTCTTTGTGGTTTCTTAGATTTTCTAAGCAATCATAACATTGTCCTTGTGGCTACTAAATCGGGCAAATATATTTCCCTATTGAAGAGTTCTCAGGAATGATTCAATACTCAAGCAAATCAAATCTCCCCCTTTTGAGCGAGCTCCCGCATGGCACTAATTGTACCCTCAACAGCCCCCTTGCTCATCATCTTTTCCCTCTCCCTCATCACAGCCAGTTCCTCCTCCGAAGCGCCTGGGTGCCTCCACTCAAAAACATAGGTCATATACAGCTCCCCCTCGGCACCTTCACTGACAATGTTACTGATGTTACTCCCATCCGGTTGAAAAAAATCGACCCGGGAGTCTTTGTGGGCCGTCACCGTCTCCTTGACTTTCCGCTGGTCTTGACGAAAAACCACTTCGCGGATGGTGACGGGATTTCCAGCTTCATCAACAGATTCACTGAGGACTGAGGTTGACTGAATGCCGGCTGGAACGAATGTCTCTGCGGAGCGGATCTTGAGGAGTAAGCCATTCCAGATCTGACTGCGGGTGAGGATTGGATTGGCACCGCGAGGATTTATGGGAGCAGTGAAAGCGACATTGTTTGTTGGGATGACCATTTTGAGAGGATGTAATCTTACTTAACGAGATGGATAGCCGTTCTGATGAAGCCTAAGGTAGCCAGTCTATATAGGCACTCAATACCCGCTGTAATCATAATCATAGTTAACTATCCCTTCGTGGCTTACAAAGCTCCCGGTGTTTCGGACCGCGAGTGCTGACACGCTGAGTAAGGTAAGCATGCACGGCCCCATCAGCCTTGAAATTTGTCAATCTTAATATTATTGTTAGTTACCGGTGGTCAAAATTAAATGGTCTAATTTTGGGCATCCACTGATAGATTAGGGCTAAGCAGCCTCAGACCGATGAACAAAAAGGATGACGTCCACTCCAATGTCAAAGAAAACCTGGTGATATGGAGACAACTTAGTGAGGCCCATTTGAATTCACCGTGTTACTTTATATGAACAGGGCTAGTTGATAATTATACTCTGCCTAGTATACCTTCCATAGCTGGACAGTGGACTAGCAAGGTTGGCAGTAAATAGTTGAGTAAACATGCTATCCCTAATACTTGCAAACCACCAAGAATGCATAGGAAAACACATGATCTAGATTCCATGATATCGTCTGCAGTACAGGGGCTTAACTAGAGGCCCAACAAAACTATCAATCAATCTCTCCATTTCTTCTGGTGCCTCTGTCGGAGGAAAGTGGGCCACGCTCTTGAGAAGCACCAGCCGGGAATTTGGCATATTGTCGACCATAGGCTGCACACCCTGTTCCACCGGAACAGTACGGTCATCCTCTCCATAAATAATCAGAGTAGGGACGGTAATCCGGTTGTATCCATCGCCAATGTCATAGGACACCAGGCAGCTTGCATTGTTGCGGCGGCCATGCGCAGGCCACTTTGCAGCTTCCAGGGCAATCGACCGATCAAGCCCCATGATAGTGTAGAAGTCGACGCATTTTGACAGCTCATCAACTCCTGCGGTGAGCCCCTCATATGGGAAAAACTGTTTCGCACTCTTGCCATCATAATAGGTTGCAGTGTAGATGATTTTGGAGACTCTGGTCGGATTCCTCAGATAATAAGCCGAGGCGATATTGCCGCCCATGGAATGAGTGACCAGGGTAACCGGCTCATTGATCTTGGCAGCCTTTAGCACGGCGTCGAGGTCTGCAGCGTGCTGGGGAATGTTATATGTTTCCGGAGATTCAGGCTTCGATGACCGTCCATATCCACGAAGGTCGTGCGCAATGCACCGGTACTTGGCGCTCAAGCGAGCAATCAACGGTTGCCACAAACTGGCAATGCCCATATAGCCGGAGACGAGTACCAGTATCGGGCCGGTGCTTCCGTGCACTTAATAGTAGATCTCTCGGGCATCGTTGGTTGTAGCGAAGGCCATATTGTAGGTGAAGATTGTTGTATGGAATTTTAGGGAGTGGAGAGGAGACTTGAAGGATAGCTAAGGTATTTGATTAAGCTGGTTGTTGTATGATAAGCATACAGAGAACAGTGCGCATTTTATATATCATGCCCAGACCAGAGATATCATTAAGCATTTTTCAATTTTTCAGCATGACAAATCTGGGACAGATCTACAAAAGGATTCTGAAGCACACGCCACTAAGCCCACCGATCTGTGAGATGAAGCCGGAACAGGTTATGATGTGGGCCTGATGGGATACTGAGAAACCCTAACAAAGTTACCAAATGGGCACTTGGGTCGGAAACGAATAGAAAGAAGGACGGAACATGGCCGATTGAGGCGGATCTGGAACCACTCGACGATAGAAACGGCGAATCTCGTTTAAGATGGAGATCCCGAATAGATCAAGGAACTTCAGATGTTTGTTCCCGCATGGCCGATTTGCCTATGATCTTGCCTCGCAGCTCATCTTTCTTGCTCATTATGCAGCCGTCAATCTTTACTCGCAATTATTCTCTCAGCTCCGAATATTCCTTACACCATGATGTTCATGCTCTTTGAACAAGTCAAACAGATCGCCTTGATCTATCTCAATGCCAATGACCGCCTTGCGCCATTGTCGACCACACTAAGGATATCAGGGACAGATATATCTATAGTGTTTCATAATAAGGAGAGTGAATGAATGAATGGAGGGAGCAGCTTGGAGATTTTCGTTGGTAAACTGCTGCCTTTAAGCATGACCCCAACTTTGCCAATGTTTCTTTGATTCCGTCTTACCATGATATCCACATCTATACCGTCCCCTCTGAGCGATTGAATAACTTGGAATCAGACCGTCATCATGGCTCACTTCGCCGGTCCCATTGTCTGACGGTCTGACCGGGACAGCTGACTACCCTCTCATATCGAGTCATACTGGTACACCGAAGTTAATCCTTCGTATAATTGCCCTGGTCAAGAGACCAGTGGCGTCTTGGTCATCTGGGTCCACGGGAAGGATTAATTACCCTGCCTAGACTCCTAGAGAGCTTATTAGTATGTTGTGAATCACAAGAAGAGCATGCTAGTTGCTACCTACAGCACTCGGCTTCTCCTGTGATCATCATCTAGATTGACCATGGAAATGAGTATAGGTCTCCAGACTGAGAAACGTGGTCTCTGCATGCATCCCCAGCACATTTCCGCAGAGCCTCTGCAGCCACAGCTGCATCCCAGTCTGGGGTCTGTCTGTACCGTGCGGAGGGGATCAGTCTGTTCGGACCCGAGCTAGTTTCCATTTCTGAATGCTTACCCCGTCAAGCATATACTAGGCATTCGGCCAATCATTCTACACCAAAAATAGCCCAACTTCGACCAAGCCAGACCCACCAATTCGGCAGGTGGCGGGACAGTGGCATGAGTCCATGATTATGATTGACGGGACATGCAGTCGGATCAGAACGGCGCCCCACTATATCGCCGACCCGGCAGCACGGCCAACAGGAGGGGGATAAGCACTAGGATTCCCTGGCATTCCGATGAATAATTGAGTTCTGCGAGGATTGGCCGGGGTTACACTTGGATGTGATATGATTGTATTGTTGTTGGGTATAGATAGCTTAGAACGACTGGAGACAAATGCCATTCTCAATATAGTTTTTCTTCACCATGCAGAAAAAACATTATTTTCCGTAATCTGCCTTTCTCCCCATCAGCGGTCGCGTTTTCTGCTCGCAGCCCCTGTCTTTTTGTCCACCTCGCTCGATCAGAAGATGCACACGGCCAAGGTAGCGGCCGGTTCAGTGAATCTCTCCAAGTCGGCGTCGTTATCGACAGCGGTCGCCAATCACACCCCATTCTTCGCCTGTGTTCTCAATCTAAGCTCAATTCTCCAGGTCGCCTTGGTTGCAGTGGAATATCTGCCGTTGTCAGAAGTCAACCAACCTTACCTCTCACTGAATATCGGCGTGCTTCTGTCTATGGGTGACACCTGGCCCATTGCTGGCAGCTCCATGCAACTCATCCGGGAGATCGTCATGGAAATACAAGCTGCGGCTGCAGCAGGCAGGGTACGATACTTACTACACCGGCAAGCTGATGAACGCCCACTCGGTCGACAACTACGACAGTCTGCATGTCTCCGGCTTCAATGGATCGGATTTCGTCCTGGATCCATATACCTACGACTACATGAATGCCACGTATCAGCGCAACCATGATCCGCCTGTCAGTTACCTCGGTAGACACACGACCGAAGTTCTCCGGGAGAAAGCCATGGGGTTCTTGGAAGACGCTTTAGACGGCGAGCGGCCATTCTTCCTGGCTGTCGCACCCATCGTCCCGCATTCCAACATGAACGGGACGTATGGAGGAGGTGCCGGGCCCATGTGGATGGATGAGCCTATCCCGGAGGACCGGCACAAACATCTGTTCCCGGACGCCAAGGTCCCGCGGACTCCCTAATTCAATCCTAAGAAGGTGAGTTAGAGTTGATTCCTAACTGACAGAGTTACTGACAAGTAAGCCAACCGGCGTAAGCTGGATCCATGATCTCCCCTATCGAAACCAGACTGTCGTCGACTACAACGATCACTACTACCGGCAGCGGCTGCGCGCACTCCAGGGAGTTGACGAGCTGGTAGATCAGCTCATCACCCGGTTAGAGCAAAGCGACAAGCTCGAGAACACGTACATCATCTACACCTCCAACAACGGCTTCCACGTCGGACAACACCGCCTTCCCCCGGCAAGACCTGCAGTTTTGATGAGGATATCCGCGTGCCGTTCTTCATTCGTAGCCCTGGTATCCCCGAGGGCGCGCAGCAGGATATCGTCACGACGCATATCGATGTTGCACCCACGTTGTTCAGGCTAGCTGGGTTGCCTCTCCGCGATGATTTCGATGGGACAGCAATGCGGATTGCTGATGCAACAGGGACGCTCCATGAGCATGTAGCGGTTGAGTACTGGGGACAGGCTATGTTGGAGGGTGGCATTTCGAATCTTGATATGTACCCTTCTTCAAGGCTAGGATGTGGTCTGATTACATAGGAATCCCGACGGTTCCAAATAACACCTACAAGGCGGTGCGAATCCTTAGTAATGAGTACAGCCTCTACTACTCGGTCTGGTGCAACAACGAGCATGAGCTCTACGATCCCACCGCGTGTCTTCCATTCCATGGTATCGTTGAAGAAGGCTAATGAACGCAGACTGACCCGTATCAAATCAACAATCTCCACCCCAGCGCACGGAAGGGCCAGGCAGATAAGCATCGCATCATGGGCTTTGACATTACCCAAGTGATCTCCAGACTTGACGCCCTTCTCCTCGTCCTCAAGTCGTGTCAGGGGAAGACCTGCGTCAAGCCATGGGACGTGTGCTTCATCCGGATGGGTCCGTTCACAATCTACTGGATGCTTTGGATCACAAGTATGATGCTTTCTACCGTGACCAGTTCAAAGTCTCCTTTGATCGATGTGAATATGGTTATGTTATTGACGCTGAGGGGCCGCAGACTGCGCTGGCGTACAGGAATGGGTATGCCTTGGAGGCGTGGGTTTAGTAGGCTAGATATCTAATAAATCTGACGGGGAGACGATGGTTCTGTGGGGCTTTGATTTGTTCCTCAGCGGGTTTCTAGAGATAGACTGAAATAGCCACGATCCCTTCATTAGCTCTATTACAGGATCAGCTTAGACTCTCGTATTTCAAGTTAGCAATTGCAACGCATCCACCAACCAGGACTAGCTAGTGCCTCGTATTCTGCGTTGGTTCGTGGGATTTACTTGGCGCATTACGATCGACACATATCTTTCTTAGTAATATTAGCGCAGTTAAAACCCACATTTTTACCTTCCCCTCACTTGTCTGTCTGGCGTTTGTTACAGCTGACAACACAGTGATAATGGGAAAAATCACCTTCTACTGCAACATATGCGGTGGGCCACTGTCCTGCTATGATCTCCGCAAGGCTTCCACGGCTTGGGAAGGCGAGGACCTCAGCCTCTGCTACGATGATGACTGTGACTGCGAGGCTGGCTCCAGACCAGAAGCTGAAGACGACGAGGATGGAGAAGATGACGAGAACTCTACCGCCGCGTGTGAACATGATAGTTATTGCGCATCCCTCAGGGGATACAGCGGGGATTTGGTATCTGAGAAGGATATCTTGGTATGTTAACAATCCACATGAGAATATTATCCTGACTGTTGCTAGTGGCTGGAGGAAGTGAGAATGCTGCGTCCTAGGGGTTCCCAGAGTAACAAGCATAATGAAATGCAGGATGATGACGATGCGTACTATATCACTGAAAATGTAAGTCATTAAAAGTTCAGCTGTAGAGGTGCCCATCGTCATGTCAGTGCCTGTGACTGATGAACCCAAGGGCAGCTATGATCCGTGGTATGGACTGGAGGTTCCTGGCGAGAACACAGGGAGTAGCGATGGAAGGCTGTGGGCGAATATAGATGGCTTCTTTCTGCATGATACCTGCTGGCAGATGCTTCAACTTGTACATCAAACTGTGAATCCGAGTTCGCCACCATTACAGCCGCGCGGGGTGTATCTCGCTATGCAGGCTCGACTAGGGGATGACATGGAGAAATCCATCGACTGGGAGGACAGTAGAGTCTATGGTGGTACGGAAGACTTTCAATCGCAAGAGTGGGAAGCAGAGCCAGGGTATGAGGTAAGTTGACCTAAATTATGTTGTTTAAAGGCGAACTCCCTTGTATCAGAGTATTAGCTGACGCCTTTCAGTGGTTAGTCGTGGACCCTTTGAAGCCAGTCGACATCTCTGAGCTCATCTCCGCCTCAAAGAGTTCAAACCCAGGCTCCACAAATGCAATTGTATACGGGGGTGCACTAAAATTGTCGGCTGTAGATCCATTTTCAAGTCTACCATGGGATGTCCGTTATAGGATTCTGCAAATGCTTCCCTCGCCATCCATCATCGATCTAGTCATTGCCAGTGCCGTATTTCGTGGAGCTGCCCGTGACCTGCCTGATCACTTTTGGAGATTACGTCTGGCCTACGATTGTCCATTGATTGACCAAGACTCACTTCGACAGAACATTGCTCAAGCAGGCGGGCAGGCTAACTACAAGGATCTCATTCGTCTAATCAAGGCAGCTGCAGCAAGGCCAGAAGACGGAATGAACGAAGACCGGGATACCTGGTTAAACCTCAGAAATCGCCATCGGATCTGGACCTGCTGTGAGGTTATCCTCGGGAAGTTGGAGAAGGAAGCAAAATCGTGTGTCCCATTCAGCCAGAGTGCGAATCTGGCGAGATCCGACTAACCTCCACCAGGGAAACCCTCAACAGACTCTGAAGCTCATCCACTTCAGTCTAGTGAACTCGCCAGCATATGTGGTGTGACTGTGTATTTGGGATCAAAGGCCTTCATTGTTGGAATAGAATGGCATGTAGGAGAAATGTCCGGTAGCTGTCGCCCAGGACAATAAGCAAAATGAAGTTGATAGGCGCGTCAACGTTGGATACTTCAATCACGGCTCCTTGAGGTGCCACATTCCCGACTATCGCCCTGGTAGATGTTAATCAAGACCGCTGCAGGCATGCAGTCTTGGATCATGTGAGCCAAACGGACGGGCGGAGTCACACCGTCAAGCGGGACATAGACAGCGCCAATCTTGATGATCGCATTTTGGTAAACGGCGACTTTAGAGCTAGCAGTGACGATGCGATGCTGTTAAGTTGCCTCGAAAGCTCCCTTTAAGTGATAGTGTTCATCCAGGTCATTTTAAAGGCAGGACCTTGCATCGAGTCAGGTTTGGCAATACAGAGGTTCTTAATTGTTGTTTACCCACCATGACCACCCGCGATAGCCTTTGACAACAAGGATCGCCTGAACTTCCATTTGCTATTCACTGGATCGTTTGGCCGATCAGCAAATTCCCGCAGGATGTCTTCGTAGCTGTTTGCAAAAATCCGGGCTGCGTCGGCATTATAGAGAGATTTTTTGAATGTTGAGGACGATCTTTGTGTCCGCGTCATCATCTGCTGCTGTGTTGGTAATGATTATAAAAGCAATATTGTAGGGGAGCTCGGCCTGGTCCTTAGCCGTCATCTCGCAGTCGCAGTCCAAGAACTCATGTCTGCTCTCAATGCTCGTCTCCGCGAAACTTATAAATGCCTGAGCTAGTGATGATGACCTCAAGAGAGATCGCATTGGAGAGAGCCCAGAGGCTCTTTTCCTGTGAGTTGACTATGGCATCTGCAAAGAACTGTGATGGTAGCGCCTTTACGTGAGGAGACAGCATTTTTAAGAATGGGCTAATTCCAGTCCACATGCCTTTGTCTTGATGATAGCTGTTGGCAAAGCTGATGCAAACTTCCTCTATACTCAGCCAGCGGAAGAGTAAAACCTTGAAAGCTGTCAGGTGAAAGTGGAGTGGCGTGGACCTATACTTGTGGTTGACTTGCCGGATCCTGCTTGCGAGCTTGCTGTCAATATGCAACTCGCATTCTGAAGCCTGGTGCGAGAGCTATATCTCGTGAGAGGACGGCCTCCGGGATGCTGCTTCAATGGAGGGGAAGCGCTCTGGGATTTGTGGCAAACTCGCGTCGCCTGAATATCATTGCGTTTGTCCATTTGCCTGAATTGTGCTCTCCATCCAACTGATTGGAATAGCCGAGGTATTGCAGGGGACTGGCTAAGTTTTCATATTAGATTCTGTAGATGCGAGCAAGGTCAGACATGAAACTGTCGGTGCTGGCTTGATCGAAGATGATGTGATGCGTGGCCAGCGCAAAGTAGTGGTTAGTTGGAGAGTAGAATAAGAGACACTCTTGCTGTGTGGCATTATTGTAAATTAAAGATAGTTTTCTTCAGAGCATTGTACTCACTCCAGACGTCAGCTTTAGCAAACCTGTGGTGATGCTCCAGCTCCCAAGTCAGCTCCGCAAGCACACCTTAGGTATGGACCCCATCCTCTGTGAAGAAGCAAGTTCTCGAACGCTTATGGTGCTCTCCCGAGAGGCACACCACCGTATGTAGATTCAGTACTCTTATCCCACCACTAAGATAAACCATGCCTGTGGTATGTAGAGTTATTTTATCTTCCAGCAGCTTCTTTACAAACATAAACATAGACTGGGTATAGGATAGGGGTCTGAACCTATCTTATCCCAAACTCTTTCTCCGGAAGCAGAGCCACGATTTCTGTCTCACTGGTCTCAGACGTGGCAGTGCTATGGCTACAGGTGTGTTTTGGGATGATGATGCGGGTGTTCTGGCCATCTAACATCTATAGACAGAGTGTGATATCTGGAGCCCCAAACCACCAGGGGTATTGGGTTTTGCCTCGGTACTACCCAGGAATTGCATTATTCTCTGAATTAGTGCCTCATAAGAAGCCAATTAGTCATGCCAATCTTCATTAACGTAATCCACAAGCGAGCGGCCATTCCAATCGAGCGGCCACTAAACCATACACTTTTGGCCGCCCCAGAGATTAGAGGGTATTTACAACCCCTAAAACATGATTCTATTACTAAATCTAGCTATTCTTGCGCTGCGGACATTGCAATCGCTTATGGCCTATAATATGGCAGTCACTGCAGCATGGGGGTGCCCGTTGAGGGTGTTGTTCTGCATCTACTTCCTGGATAGCTTCATCAGCCTGATTCCTCTGTTGAATGAACTCCTGCCCTTCCTGGATAGAGAATCCCTCTGCAGCTTCTATCTGCCGCCTAGATTGCTTCCTATTTTGAACCTGCTTCTCATGTGCGGCACGTAGATCATGATTTTCCTTTGCAAGAAGGATAGCATTATTCATTGCCATCTCACACCCCTTAATAAGCTGATCTAGCGCAGACTTAGTAGGGGTAGGAGGACTATATGTACGCTCCCTGAGTAGCTTTTTAAGTGTATTTTCCTGCTTCTTCAACTGCTTAAGGTTATAAGGTGTTTTTGGGATGGAATCTGTTAATCAGCTGCCTGGTGGCGTAGGGGTCTTAAGCTGGATATTAAGCTGACTGAGCACCTGTTCTGGATTCAGTGGTATTAATCCAGTTGCAGAAAAGCCACTTTTGATATTATCTGATGAAAAGATTGCTGTACAGGCCTGCGGATAGGCCTCAAGGAAGTCAAGCTTGTTAATATGGTTAAAACCAACTCATGTCTTCTCCTTAATTATGCGACCATACACGCGCTTTAGAGGAGAGAAACAGCCAACATCTAGAGGCTGAAGAAGATGTGATGAATGTACAGACATATAGAGTGGAATAATATTATTCTCACTGCAGATATAATCAAATTAAGATGTTAGATGGCTCCCATGGCCATTAAGAATCAACAGTCAATATCTACTAGTCATATAACTAGTAGTAGTAGGAATAAAGACTTTTTGAAGCTATTATAATCCAATCTAATCAGTTGTCCATCCATTCTCACTAACCTCAATCCGCCAGTCTACTGGTAAGGCTGTATCTTAATACCAGCCCTCAATATAGACCTTTCCCTTAAAGATAATGCATGGTGGAAGCACCTAGCTAGTAGAGTTAATACACTCTATAGATATAACCTATTCGCGGTTCCCTAGCTAGATAAGGAAGGGCCATCTAAGCATCTCAGCTCTTATAACTACCTTAGCAGTAGCTACTAAGCCCATTACAAAGCCAGTCTCATTAAAGTTATAGATATCTTCAGGCGCGATCCCATACTGCATTATAGTGATCTGGACATAATTAAACCACTCTTAGATAATCTTTAGATCTTCACATTTGGCACGCTGGTAATTATAGCACCTAGAGAACTGGGTCTTGATCTCCTCATACCAATTAACAAAGTTATATACCCAGTTCTTGCCTACAGTCTGAGAAATAGGTGATCCGCGCTTTGAGAGGAGAATATTAGCTATTTCTTAAACATAAGATGGCTGAGAGGCTGCTCCATGTTGATCTAAAGATAATATCCACCTAATAAGTAATTCCTCTTCATTCTGTGTCATCTTATGCCTGTTTGCGCGTGCCTTAGGTCGAAAGATATGGCCATCTAGGCGTCGTCGAAGAGTTGTGCGGGGGACATTATAAACACGTGCAGCTTCAGAAATATTGCGAATTTAATTATTTTTGATAGCAGATATTGCAACGATAATTCTTCCCTCCTGCTCAGCTAATTCCCTTGATTTTTTATGAGAGTTTGGAGGCATGGTGACGTGCTAATTAATTCAAAATAATGAGACGCGGTCAAATCTGAAGAGGGTGGCCGCTCGATTGGAATGGCCGCTCGCTTGTGGATTACGTTATTGCTATAGTGTATTTTGGCTAAAATCACCAACATATCTTATGTCACTGAAGCAACACATAGTTCTTTATTTCAGACCTTGCTGGCTGACCTTACATAGGCTGATCATTATCCTAAAAGAATTATCAGCCCATCCCTGAGACCCTGCTAATGAGGTCATGTTTTTACAAATTATAATATAGAATTAGTGAAAATAGATAAAAGTAGAAGGGAAGAAAGTTATAGAACTAGCTATTAGTAGAGCAGAAAATAATATTATATATTAATAGGGTGGTTGTGGACACATACCATGGTTTTGCCCTATTGCTGCATGACAGGTGGTGATCACCCCACAATACATGGGTTCGTCGGTTTCTATGATGCTTAGTTTAGACACCCAACAACCCAACAACTGTTTGCAGTATGTCGCCTCGTCTTCCGAGTGTTCCGCGAGAACCTATTGAAAGTTTATATTGGATTAGGTGTAGTTAACCATTGAACTGAGCAAGCTTAACCTCTGAGACAAACTATTTCACTATCACTTTTGGTTTCTGGTGGAGCCACAACATTCTCTACGCAATCCTCTGCAATGGGGTTGCGTTTATCATCAACAAAATCAACCATCTCAAGTCACTCTATGGTCCAAAATTCTATACGAGTACTGACAGCTATTCCGGGTATGGAAGTTACTGATAGACAAAGCAAATAAGGCATTACATCATGACATGTTTCATTGAGGTCATTTTCAACTCTCGCTGTAATCCCTGCGCATAGATGCAATGACATACATTAAGGAGGTTTCCCCAAGATAGTCTAATAGCTAAATCTCCAGTACCATCCTCTCCCCTTTAACATTGATTTGTATTGATCCTAAATATTCACCTCAAACGGATCGACAACATGAAGTATTCAGTGTTCTCAATTGCGGCTCTTGTCGCCCCTGCCCTGGGCAATCCAGCCTACTACTGGCGGCAATATCTCTCTCCTCCAGTCCATCTTGCCGATGCTGGTACTGTCGACATCCAAAACAAGTCTCCATTTGACGTCGAAGTGGATGTAGAACCACAGGGATATCAATTCAACATTGCGCCCGGGGATCAGCACTCAATTCCAGGCGCACTGGTTGCGGATGTGAAATTTAACCAACAGGTAGAAGTGAGCTATGCCTCTGGTGATCAAGGCACGTTTAACTATGTCATTCAGCCGATTGGCAATGACTTTGCTGGATGTGTTTATGTTTCACCGGATGGATGTGAACCTCTGACCTGGTGTGCTGGAGACCCCCCAACACATCCAGTGACCTGTAAAGCTGGCACCGGGCTCCCTGTAACCTTGTATAAGCCTAGGTATGTCTCAGAGCCAAAAATCTCAAGTCCCCGCTGATTAAGCCTGCTAGCTATATGAGGAAGTCTCCACAAGAATTCCTGCTGTGAAAAGAAAGCAGAATACTAGGTAATAGTATGGACAGCTGTTCAACTAGCTAAGTTGTAAGGGCTGGTGTATTCAACATATCACCATGGGTTTGTCTATGTGGGGTTGCATATAACCTGTCTTATATTCTTTGAGGATTGACAATAGAATAATATTATCATATTGATTGCCCTGGATTTGGTCAGTAAAATAACCGTCCTGATAGGGTTCAACAATTTTCTGTCTCTAGTAAGCAGCCCTATATACAACGGGACCAAGAGTGATTTACCTCTGCAGTCAAGTGTTGGGCGAATCAACATAACGATGGCCAGAGTACGAATCCACATCCAGTCTAGTGTAGAGTGAGTGATTTATAACAACTGAAGGGCGAGGGTCAGCGTATGAATACTACTGCAGCTGCTACTACTACCTTGCACAGTGAAACAACATAGTGATTTGTACATGACAACAAATACAGTTGCCCCACCGTTATTACCACCTGCGCGATTAATATTCATGGTGGAGGCTTTGCAGTGGATCCAAAATTATGCATCATATACGGAGTACTTGCTACTGAAGGCGATATTGGTAAAGACTGTAGTTCTGTTAAGTACTAGTTAGTTATATTACCATTGTCAGCATTCAGAATTTAGTTAATGTAATGAATTTTTGTTTTTCAGCTGATACATCATGAATTGGAAGATGACAAAATCTTAAATGAGGAGTTAAAGCTTTAACTTATCCTTACTTTTTATTGGTTGGTCATCCAACTGGAGTATACAAAAGTTTGATTAATACAGCTACTGCTAAAGAGTGGCACAGTTCAGAAAGAGCGTAAGATAGAGATATTAATATAAACATTGTGTTGCAGAAATGATTCTCGGCACAAAATCAGAAGGTCAAGGTAAACCCCAAACATATAAGATCCTGCGTAGAAACGTTTCGATTTCCCCTCCACCTTGCATTTCAACAGACACTGAACCCAATGAAAGGTCCCTCTACTAACAGCCTATGCGGATCTAAAATTAGTGAGTACATGAATGAAGTAAGGAATAGCCTTGAGGTGGACCTACATAGTAAAGTGAGAAATAAGCGGCCTTTAGCATAATTTAACTCGAAGAGTTTGAGGTTTGCCACACGAACCCCCGCCCCACAGTTCTGGGTGCCACAGCCAGCACAGACGGCATGATTGAACTCAGGGGCATGGTTGATTACATCCACTTGCCAGTTGTACTTACCACCTTGGGGAACCCCAAGGGCGACCTGTTTGCAACTGTTTGGTGGATTTTTGGTGTCCGTGAATTTAATGGCTTTTCCATCTGTGATTGGCTCGGGAGGGGCTTCTTTGCCCTGTTTAATAGAGAATGGCCCAGACTGGCTTTTTCCTGGAGCAGCTACCCAATAATATACCGTGTGTGGACAATTGTTGTGGATTTTAACTTTACCGTCAGTTAGATGCGCAAGCTCAGCTAGGTAAGCCAGTTCATCCAGGTTGACTGGATTGGCCACACCGACGGAATCGGCTATGTCAGCCAGATGAGCTAAATAGTTGAGATCGACTTGTTCAGCTGCGTCTGCTGGCTCATCTAGCCCAGCTAGATATTTCATCCAGGTAGGTTCAGAGATGGCTAGGGTAGGTGCCACGAGGGCAGCTGCAAGGAATAGAAAAGAACACCTCATACTGGCAATGGTACTCTGATGTCTGCACAAATAGTTGGATAGTAATATTTGAGAGTTCAATTGATCCGGCAGGAAAGATTAAAAGCTATCTATGCCGGGAAAGTAGCCTCTATTTATGCCTTTCGAGGACAAACACATGAAATAGCGAGAATACATTAGAGAATACATGAGCAAGTGGTGATAGCCCTTTGGAGTCATGATGACCTCAAGACCAAAAATTTCACTTCCGTTTGCGACTATGATACTTTTAGAAGAGAAGGAAAAAAAGAAAAAAATTAATGATATTATTTTCATGCTCAGTTATTGTTTAAAGAGGCGCTTTTAGTAGGTTGGGGGGCAGCAATAGTTGGATTAAAGGCTAGATACTACTGTCAGCTATACGTACCATGGTTGTCCCCCATTATGTTCAGATGACACAAGTTCCCGCGCTCTGAACTAACAATAAGCTTAGATTAAACCTTAATAGAATGATAAACTTTGTGGTGAGGTCTATTCTTGATTAACTAACCCCAGCTCCAAATAAGTAATAGTAATCCTGCAGTAAAGGTCCCATGGAAACATGTATTCTAGATCCAACATCAAACTCTATCAGTATTAGGCGCCACCAGTGGACTTTTCACTATAGTTGCAACCCCCAATCCAGCAGACGGAGAAAGAGAACATGGACCAAAACCTATAGTATATGACATAGCAATTACTGCAAGCAGACAGCTGTGTTAAACTCTGTGCGCAGTGGGGGTGCTCACCATTATCCTTCTCAGCTGGATAGACAGCCAATACCGAGGAAAGGGAAGAGGATTACACCACTCCTATGTACATTATTACGACAGATTCTACTGTTCCACACCTATTTCCTAGTGGTAAAATGCCCAATTATCTCTTGGTCTCTCTAAGCGACTAAAATGGAATAAGAGAGAATAATCATTGTCAATGAAGGCGGGCGAACCATTGCTGCGTAACAGGGCCTTAATGTTAAAGCAGTTGCGCGTATGCTTTGTGGCGAGCATAAAATAAGCCTTCTGATTTCATAGAAAGCCTTAATCCTACATCTACTCAACCAGTTCCTTTGTCTATATAATGGGGGGAAATCCGTTACTGCTGTATATAAAACGCAGACTTTCGCCCAGAACGTCGGAAGCAAGCTTTTTAAACTACTCTCTGCTTTTCAATATGAGCCCTGCCGACGCTGCTTCGCCTGCCAACAGAGACCGCACTCCTAATTCAGCCGTGTTATCAGGGCCACAGGCGCTACCAGGTGACGACGCATCTATTAGACTGGCCGATTTCCAGGTTTTGCTGGGAACCGATGGCAGAACAGCCAGAAGCAGCCCAACCCGAAGGATATGGTACCCCTGGGTCCCACAGTGGATGAAATCGGACTATCGCGAACCGCAAGATGCCATGGCCATATACCCAAAGATCCTCAGGGAGGAGAAGTCGACATTGCGACAGCTATACACATTTGAAATACTTGTGTATGCGTGCCTGGCTCTTCAGCTAGTAATCTCCTCAACTCTGGTCATTATTTCTGCAATTAGCGGAGACCATCATATTGTCGTTGCTGTCCTAGGCGCCATTACTGCACTCATCACTGGTGTGCTATCCTTGATCAAGGGTCAAGGGCAGCCTATGCGATTAATCAACTATGCTCATAGCCTCAAGAAAGTTCGAGATGATATTGAATTCTGTGAGAGTGGACTGAAAGCAGGAGTTAGGGAAGTGACCTACAAGCAGATTATAGCCCTCTGGAATAATTATATCTCCGTGAGAGACAGCAATATGACAAACCGTCCGGATGTATGGGCTTCTCAGGAGAGGGATACCAGGACCACTTAACTCAGAGTGAGAGTCTGGAATAGGCCATTTGTAAGGTAGGATCAAAATGAGAATGTGTTGTACGCCGTTTGAGAAATGAACTGCAAAATCCGTGGTGACGATGCTGAATGTAGTGCTAGCCTTCATAGTGGTTCATAAAGTGATGCTCCTTGCTAGTGAGGTAAGATGAATAATATCATCCACTACCGGATACTCTTGTTATCTAGTGTACTTTGCACCCTACTAAGTGATCAATTTCTATTGGGACTCATGATTCTATGGACTCATACTAGAAACGATGATGGACTAGGATCCCTTATTTAAGTTTATCTATACTGTCAGGTGTATCATTCGATACTTTTGGCTAATCGGATTAAAGGATGGGCCTAGGAAAGATGCTTCTACCAAATATAATTAAGAGTCTGTGTTTCAGTCGTACAACATGATGATGTGAGGTATACTTGGGGAAGCGTTGAGTGCAAATCTACTCTTAGGTTATGTAGTTACTATTGGAAACGGGCTATGTGTAAAGCTGTGACTCCAGGCAGGGAACTAATAGGCGGCTGATATATTTATTTCACTTCTTCATTCTATTGGCCTAGATCCCCCGAGAATTCCTCTCATAGGCGAAGTCTAGTGATCACTAAGGTGTGGTGTGGAGTCTTTACATCGCATTATAATCAGTTGAGTAGAATGCCCGTTTGCAATGCTTTTCTGGATCATGTCACGCACCCTTCAATGGCCCCAAGTGTTCCAGATACAAGGCTTCGCTGCAACCAGCTCAGGGATATCCTATAATTTCTCCCTATAGAGTGGGCAGCGCTAACTCACTTACTGTCCACTGAGAAGGCTGAATCACAGTCTGGGTAGCCTTTCAGCAAATCAAAAAAAAGTGCTGTGCAAGAAGGAAATAAGTAACGTTCCCGTATGCCGAGCCACCATACGTCAGGATCAGATAACCCCCATAAACAAGTGCCGATTGCTCCTTATAGCCGACTGGTTGCCAAAAGCAAAAACTGTCTGCATGCCCATCACTATATGCAGAAGAATATGGCAATGCATCATCCAAAGGCCGACATCTGTAACCCATATACGCCACGCTCTCCAGCCTGACGGCGCAAGAGGAGCTATTTACCTTCTATACGCGTACAGAACCGTGGTGTCCCTAGGTATTGGATATGTGCCATTCAAGCGCTTCTCATTGTCCGTCAGGTTGTACAGCCCATCCCCGCCACCAGTGTCGTAGAAATGTCTGCCGTATCCATGGAATAGGTGGTTCTCAACATGGCCAGTACTAACAGCACCTTGATTGATTCTGCCAGACAATCTCAAGGTCCTCTGCCATCTTGGCAGGGAAGAGGCGGGTCTGATTATCAAACCCATAGCCACTAGCAATTGCACGGCTGTGCGAGGCGTCAAGGTCAAGTTTTCCCTCATAGACATCAACCAGGTATGGCGACTTAGGAAATGTCTCCATCCGGTCATACCCGCTCTGGAGCCAGATGATATGATTACTGACATTTTGGTGAACATTAATGATAACTCAACGGGTTACTTCCTCAATAGTTGGGAATTCAGGATTTGGGTGGTAAAACTCCAAGGCACAGTCCTGCCAGCCATAAGTGAGATAAGTTACAGAGAGGGGTGGAGCGGCAGGACGGTGGTTAAATCAGTTGTGGTGGGAGATGGGTGCTCTAAGACTGCGAATACGGTTAGGACAGTTGGGCGACCCGACCCATGGTAGTGATCGGGAAGTAGAATTGTCGGGACTTTGCTTTGTGCAACTCGGCTTCAGTCTTGGCCTTCAAAACAACACTGTACCGCTGGCCGCTAGAAATCTGCAAGTAACTTGTCGTCACAGGCTTTGTGTAGTGACCGTCCGCCTCAATAATTTCAAGCATGTCGTGGCTCTCGAGAATCCTTTCTTATTATGCATCCCTCCATTTCCCATCGGTACGGGGAATCGCCGCCTCCCTAGGAGGAAGTCATGTCTGGGCAGTACCTGGAAGCTTCCACCTCGGCTCGAGGTACGTGTCCCTCAGCTCTCATCTGTCCCTTAGTATGCGACTGATTGGTCTAGAGGACGGCGGAATTGATGTGACCGTCAAGGTGAAGCAGCCAGGTTTGGAAAGCCTCTTACCAGACAACCGATCAGCAGATAGCCCGCGATTGCCGGAAGTCCCTCTCAGCGCAGTCAAACCACTGAATATCGTTATCCAGATCGTTGAAAGCGGAGGTTTGTTAGCGCAAGTTCCTTCTCCACCGTGCACTATTGCTAACGGGTATCCGTGCCTCCGCGCCCCTCACCGCCTCCGCAGTGAGGGTGCGCTACAGCATAATGGTAGATTTCACCGTAATGGTAGATTTGATCCAAAACACATACTATTATGTATTTGAAGCTATTCCCACCACCCAACATGCCTAAATCTATTAAATATAATGAATCTGACCTCCTTAAGGCCTGCGAAGCCGCTCAGGCCCAAAAAAAGCCAAATTTTGCTAAGATTGCGCGTGAATATGGCGTTCCTTCCACAACACTACGTGGACGCGTCAAATCCGGTTATCAGCCTCGTACGGCTCGCAAACCAGTTAATAAAGCCCTTAAGGAGCATCAGGAGAAAGCCTTAATACAATGGATAGTCTGGATGCGAGATCATTACATGCCAGTGACGCCTAAGCTGCTAGAAGAGTATGCAAATCAGCCACTTTAACGCGCTGGTGAAGATAGACAGGTTAGCAAGGTATGGGCATATCACTTTGAGAAATGACTCCCAGAACACCTCAAGCTAGGCCCTGTGAAGCAAAAGATGAAGGAATCAAAGCGTATCAGGGCCGAAGATGCAGGGCTATTAGGAAACTAGTATAATCAGCTTGCAAATGTGATCAAAGATACTCCAGCGCGATTGGTATATAACTTTGATGAATGTGGATTCCAACCTGGCGAAGGCAAATCTAGGAATGTGATCAGTTCAAAAGGTTCAAAAGTCCCTGATCTTGCTGAATCAGGAAAAGGAGAGAATATCACAGCTATTGAATGTATTACTGCGGATGGTTGGCAAATGGATCCATGGTATATCTTTAAAGGTAAGTTCCTATCTTTTAGATAGTTCTAATGTTCTAATTTATGTACTAATCAATCTATTCCTTCTCCCTTAGGCAACGGTGTCTTCATGGAGGCCTGGTTTAATAAGAGTGAGGCCTTGCCACTAGATACAATAATAGCTACTCAACCAAACGGCTGGATATCAGATGAAATAGCCATTCAATGGCTTCAAAGCTTCATTAAGGCGACAAATGAACGTACAAAGAGGGGAGAGAAATGGATACTTATATTTGATGGCCATGGCTCCCACCACACTGTTGAATTCTTGCAGGCATGCAAAGATAATGGCATTATACCCTTTGGATTCCTTCCTCATACAACACATCTTTGCCAGCCACTAGATGGCAAGCCATTCTTGAGCTATAAGCAACACTTCCACCAGATGAATAGTGAGCTATCTTACTGGGCTGGTGAGCCAGTAGGGAAGTCAGAATTCTTACAGGTGATTGGACCGGTACGGGAGAAGGCTTTTAACCAACGGATCATCCGTGAGGCCTTTAAAGATCGTGGTATCTGGCCAGTCAATAGTAAGATAGCTGACGATCTTGCTGCTAAAGCATGGGAACAAATTCCGGATATCTACGCGCCTGATCTTAATGAGAATTCTACGCCCTCTACACCCTCTCGGCCACTATCTTCATCTAGTATTGATATCTCACCTCCACTGACGATTCAGGCCCTTGAGAAGAATCAGGCAAAGCTATCTAAACATGCAGATCTCCTTACGCCGAAGCTGCAGCGGAATCTTAACCAGATATTTGAACATAATCGAATTGCTGCTGAGCACCTATCTATGGCGAATGAAACGATTAGTTGAATCAGGGCCGTGCAAGCCCCCCTACAGCGCCAATACACTAAGCGACATGTTAAGCCACTTAGTTAGGATGGTATACTAAGGGTACAAGATGCAAATCGATCAATTGCTTTAAGGAAGGCCAAAGATGCTGCTGCGCAAGAGAGGCGTTTACAAAGGCAGTGGGAGAAAGTGCATGGTAAACCCCCACCACCAGCACCTACACAAGAGAATATGGTATCAAATGGATCGGCAGAGGCAGTAGATGAGAATAGCGATTTTTTTTATATATATAACCCCTAGTATGGCCTCAAAATCATGATTTTGATGAGAAATCTACCATTACGGTGAAATCTACCACTACGCTGTAGCGCACCCACACCGCCTCCGCGGTGTGGGTGCGCCTAAGGCACGGATACGGCAAGCCATTGGAACAAAACCGAAATAATGACTTTAGGACTTTCAGTATGTCAGACTTTCATATTTTCTGCCGGCAGTAAAATTTGATTTCTACAGTGGACTATAGCTATAATATGGACTTTTAGTTTTTTTATAATAATTATATCTCACTACACCACCCCTTGGTACAGTTGCACGCACTGCACTATCCCTACTAGACAATCTTTAATATTAATACTAGATGTTATACTAGATGGCATTCAATATTGCTACTGGGTGGCATTTGATATTGATACTAGATGGCATTCGATATCGATCCTAGATGGCATTTGTAGACTGGCTGACCCAATCCGCAAATCCATATCCAACCCACCCAATCCGCACTTTGGGTTGGATGGGGGTCGACCCTGATCTAACCCACATAGATATGGGTGGATGGCATCCAACCCATATGGATATGGATAACCCATTGGGTGCACGTGACCGGCAGAATAATAGATATTCATGATATTCTCTCAAAGAGAGATCTTTCTACCTACTAAAAGTAGTATAGTCTAGATTCTTAGGTATTTCCGCCTACCAAAAGTAGTATAGTCTAAAATCACGTGTATGATATGGGTAAAATGGTTATCCGCAACCCAACCCGCATGGATATGAGGGTGGGTTAGATAGGTGGTGGATCAAACCCAAACCCATGTGGGTTGGATTGAACCCCCTGCGGATCCATCCAAACCCAACCCACGACCAGTCTAGGCATTTGATATCGATACTAGACAGCATTCGATATCAATACTAGTGAGAATTCAATATTAATACTAGATTATTAGCAGTTAAGAATCATTCTTAAATTATAGTAGTTAAAGTTCAATATGCATACATATATTATATATATATATATATATAAATATTACTACTACTACTTATACTAATTACTAATAAAGATGATTATTCTCTTATAACTTAACTATAAGATATTATAGTAATAAAACTAAAAACCTCATCTAGTATCGATATTGAATTTTTACCTAGTATTAATATCGAATTCTCACCTAGTATTGATATTGAATTCTCACCCAGTAGCGATTATCGAGTGCCACCCAGTAGCGATATTGGATGCCGTCTAGTATCGATATCGAATGCCGTCTAGTATCGATATCGAATGCCATCTAGTATGCCGTCTAGTATTGATATCGAATGCCATCTACTATCAATATCGAATGCCGTCTAGTATTTGTAAGGATCTACGTATCAGGGTAGATGGCCTGTTGACTAGGTAAGAATTGGTGATGATTAGACTGGTTAAACCCAACCCGGAAACCCCAACCCAACCCAGCCTAAACCCGCCTTGGGCCAGGTCTGGGTTTAGAATTTCTAACCCATAGGCTGGTTAGGTTCTGAGAATTTCTAACCCATTTGGGTTTTAGGTTGAAAAATGGGCTGGGTTGGGTTAGGTTGGGTTCTTATTATAGGCTCTCTAGAACCTATGTTATTATAATACAGTTTTAATTATATAGGTATGTACAGTAAGTGCTCTGCAAGTTAGTATAGATGAAATCTAACTAAGGTTAGATTTAGTATTATAAGTGTATTAATAAGTAAATTAATATTATATTAATAAGGAAAAAATATTATATTAATAATTTAATATCCTAATTTAATATCTTCCATTAAGTATTGCCTGATATTTGCCATGTTCATGCTAGCGATGAATTAGTTGCTATGGAACCTAGGGCTGATATAATGTTGTTTAAAGTAGAGTTAGTGATGGAGGAAGATTATCTTCTTATATATTATCTAGTAGATCTGCCTGACCTTCCTTAATATCATTAATATCTTCCTCTTCACTAATATAGTCAAGCACATCTACTAGATTAGCATTATCTTCTTTATCTCTAATAGTACCTCCATCTTCATCATCCTCCTGAATGCCTGTAAATTCTTATTAAAGTTTAAAATTTTCAGCATATATCTAGATTATTATTGCTTGGATTATGCCTGGGAGAAGATGACTTTAACAGTAGTAACAGATATCTTAAGATGTATTAAAAAGATACTTAACCCCCACACCACTAATAGGCATAGCTAAGAAGTCTCATGCTATTCTTATAAGAATAAGAAAATAATTCTTATACTATTTCTAATACTTAAGCACATTTATACCAGAGGGCATGAGACCTATGATTAGTTAGTAAATCTAACTTAAGTTAGAATTATATAATATACCTTCTTATAAATAATCCTCAATCTCACTCAAGGCATTATTAGTTTAGATTAAAATATATATTTTACCCTTCTATGTAATAGCAATAACTTAATCCAGTTCAGAAAGATAGTTAGAGGTATAATTTATCTTTACTTTCTCTAGAAAGACTGTAGTATAGTAAGCATAAATATCCTTAAGGGCACTGGTATACCTATTATACTAGTTAACATTATTATTACTCCATATATCTTCCTGAAAGACTTTTAGTTTAAACTAAGGAGCTAGAATAGTTGTAATAGCATAGACATATCCTTATGCATAGTATGTCTTGCTATAATACTGATGCAGCTTATTAATAGCCTTAGATAAGGCATGCCATAGTTCCCTCTTCTAAGTTATGTACTTTAATTCTAGTTATTATTAAGCATCCTCTAAATGCTAAAATAAGGAGTTATAGATGTTAAAGGCCTTATAGACTATAGATCTATTAAACTCTAATAAGGCAAGAGTAAAAGTAAAGAAAGGGTAAGTTAGCTAAAGTAGGTATTTAATCCACTACTACTCTGTATGAGAAGGAAGAAGATATATAATATCTTTCTTCTCCTACTTTTCTGAAAACTTAGCTAGAGCAGAGTGAAGCTTAATAGCTTACTATAATATTAGATATATTAAGTTCCATTAAGTTTTGTAGTCCTATTAAAGTCCAAGTAATCTAGGATTGGAAGGTAGGTAGTAAAAGGTTTCATATTAGATAGGGCTTACATTAATAAACTAAGTAAATTTTTAAATCTAGTAAGAGATACTATTAGTAAAGAATCTAACTTAAGTTAGATTTATATACCTTCTTAAGTATACCTGTAAATCCCTCTAAATAGATATATTAGTTACTTATATCCCAGACCATCTTAATCTTATTATTTATAGCTT